CCTGCTGTGAGAGGGTGCTGCTGTGATTTCTCAGAGTAGCAGCCTTTGAGCAGCTCAAGCCTCTGCTTCAGGATCTTAAAGAACCGTACCACCAGGCTGCTCCACTGGTGCCTGCAGACTCCACATTTTCCAAAGATAACTGGCTTGTGAATGGACAGTTCCATGATGCAGCAGCTTGCCTCATGACATTCCGTCCCCCTCCTCCTTGTTTCCTTACTTCCCTAGCTCTGTGTCTGCATTTAGAATTCTCAGCCTGTATTGTTGTCAGCTTTCTGTTTTTGTTCCTATAATAATTTACTGATTCCTACTGTCTTCTAAAGTAGGAAAAATGACTAGCAGCTTTGGTTAAATCAGTTTAGATCAAACCAAATCATTTTGTTTAATCTGCCTGGCTGGTCCTGAGCATTTCTCCAGTAAAATGTTTGAGATATTCTAGTAACGAGCTCTGTGCTCTAGAGTTTTCTGGCATTGTACAAGCTAGAGAAGTTTTCCTTGGTTTCCATATCTTTGCTCTTTCTCTGCCCCTACCTGAGAAGCACACCCTCCATCTCTTCCCTCTGCTGCAGCTTTCTCAGCCAGCCGAGTGCCGGAGAAGCTGGATGTGGTGGTGATTGGCAGTGGTTTTGGGGGCCTGGCTGCAGCTGCAATTCTGGCCAAAGTCGGCAAGCGAGTTCTGGTTCTGGAACAACATACCAAGGCGGGAGGCTGTTGTCATACCTTTGGGAAAAATGGTCTTGAATTTGACACAGGTAAGGTTTATGTGGAGAGGGGTTGGGAGCATGGCTCTATCTTCAGGAGGCTTGGAATAGCCGTTGTGGGAGGATACTGGGCATTTCTGTTGTTTTGGAGGCCCTGTCTTCTTTCTGGGCACCTCTTTCCTTGTCTGACAGTCATATTCACTGGGAACTGAACTGGGCAGGGCTTTGGTGGTTTCTGCTCTAACTCCTCCCTACAACAAGAGTGGGTAGCTTTCTTTGGGTGTAGATTTAGCCATGCAGGACAACAGAGCTCTCTCACCTTGCTTTCATGTCCACCTTTCCAGGGCTCAATCCCCTTATCCCTAAGACACCTTGTTTGTCTGCTTCCCAACAGGAATTCATTATATTGGGCACATGCAGGAAGGAAGCTTTGGCCGTTTTATCATGGACCAGATCACTGAAGGGCAGCTGGACTGGGCTGGCTTGTCCTCTCCCTTTGATATCATGGTACTAGAAGAGCCCAGTGGCCGAAAGGAGTTCCCTATGTATAGTGGAGAGAAAGCCTACATTCGGGGTCTCAAGGAGAAGTTTCCCCAGGAAGAAGCTGCCATTGACAAGTATATAAAGCTGGTTAAGGTAACATAGACATGCTTAGGATCCCCTGTTTATTCCTGACAAGGTTGGCCTTCTCATCAGCAGAGCCACTGGTGAGGGAGGCAGGAAGAGAGGAAGAGTCATGTCTATCCTGAAATCAGCCTCCACCCTAGTTCATCTCTGTGCCTCTAGAGCCTGGCCTCAGCAGCTGTCACTGTCACTCTGGCCTCTAAGGGGCACCATGCTCTCCTCCCTGACCAGGCTGTCTTCTGTGTGGTCGGATCACCACTCTTTCTTTAATTCATCTGACACCAGATTGGGATTTTTCAAAAAGAATTTGGGCAGGCAACTGAAAGCAAAAAGACTCATATGAATGTAGAATGGGAAAAATTCACCAAGTACCGATCTTTAAAAATCCAAATTCAGCCAAGTTCAGCCACGGGTAAGTGTGGCTGAGCCCTCTGCTGGTGTAGGCTATTGGAATGGTGATTCTGTCTCAGCAGTTCTAGAGATAAAACCTGTTTTTCTCTGCTCATTGTCTTCCTCAGTTAGTATCCAGGGGATCCAGTCATGCCATCTTATTGAAGATCCTCCCGTTGCCTGTGATTTATTTTCTCAACAAGTGTGGGCTGCTCACACATTTCTCCCCGTTCCTTCGTGCATCCACTCAGAGCCTGGCTGAGGCTTTGCGGCAGCTACCAGCTTCCCCAGAGCTCCAGGCAGTGCTCAGCTACATCTTCCCCACATACGGTGTGTACTGGCCTTGGGTGGCTCCTGGAAGAGGAGGTGCTGCCCTCCTGGCTTAGTCTTTATTCCCAAATGTGCTTGGCTGACTGAAATGAAGCAATATAAACCCCAGGCCCTCTGGAGCTTATGAATGAGAAGTCTGCCCACCTACCTGCTGCACTCTCTGGTAAAAATGCCCTTCATCCACACCCTGGATGATTTTTCCTTTCAGCCAGCATTGTCCTCCCTGGTCTTGGCAGCATGGCAGTTTGGAGGGAGAATATTCCTACTGGCCCCAGGATCTGTAATGAACCCCATATTTGCATGGAAACTGGCCCTCTGCCTGCCCTGAGCCCATATTTTCTGAGAGGAATCCACATTCCTTTCTGAGTGGTGCTGCTATTGCTCTTGCTTCTTCTCTCCTTCCTTCTGTAGGCGTGCCCCCCAGCAACACCACCTTTTCCATGCATGCTCTGCTGGTTGCCCACTACATGAATGGGGCCTTTTATCCCCGAGGGGGTTCCAGTGAAATTGCCTTTCACACCATTCCTGTGATTGAGCAGGCCGGAGGTGCTGTCTTGACAAGGGCCACTGTGCAGAGTGTGTTGCTGGACTCAGCTGGAAAAGCCTGTGGTGAGTCCTGCATCATGCTTCATGGGTCCTGTGCTGGAGCGGGAAAGTCCTGGGATGCAGAGAAAAGAAAGCACTAAAAGCAGAAAGTGTAGAAGAATTGACTTTCTTATTGGGGATAAAGGCTGGAATCTGCCCAAGCAGTGGGGGGAGAGCGATTGGTCTGGAGGTAAAGAGCATGCAGGAAGGATAAAGGGTTTCATGGTTTCCAGAGAACACTATTTAATCTTTTACTCGGTAGATAAGAATAGTTATCTAGTAATCCATGACCTCTTTGAGTGTAGGGGCTGTGTCTTTTTAATCTTTATGTCTAGATTTTAGCATGTAATAGAGGTTCAATAAATGTTTGTTCAGTGATTGATGGAATGAATAAATAACCTAGGCACTCCCTAGGGCAGAGTGGAGGCCAGCAGGATATCATACCTCAACCTATAAATGGCAGAGTGGGGCCTAGAATCTGATTATCTTGGCACCCAGGTCTTTGCTGTTACCTGCACGGAAAATTAAAATCCCATTGTAGAAGAACTATATGAGGAGACAGTCTATGCAAGGAAGAACTCTGGTAAACAGGTCATCTATGACTCATGGGTGCTTCAGAAGCATCAGGGAAGGGGACAGAGAGGCTGGAAGAAAATAGGGCTGGTATGACGGTGAATTCACCAGATAAATCTTTTAAGGAGAAGGTGGTGAGTGGGTAGCCCAGTGCACCCTCCCCCTGCCAAAAAGCTATCAGTGATCTCTGAGAACATGTTTATAGAAGAGATTAGGAAGCTTCTGGTGGTAAGAGAGAGGTGGCTGTCAGTAGTGTGAGATTTTCTCTCATGTTCATGAGCAAATTCTCCTTCCAGCCTAAAGGGGTCTGTGAAGCAAGGCGGATTTATCAGTTCAATTAAATTCAGTTCAGAATATATTTATTTGTATTTTTATGTGGTAAGCAATAAAAGATGTAAATAAAGAGATAAGTCCTAATCTCTAACTCAAGAAGTTTCCAGTCTCATGGGGAAAGTCACGGCAATATAATGAGTGCCACAAAGAGGCACATACTAAAACTGGAGTTGAAATAAAGGATGGTGGAACAGGGAAGGCCTCAGAGGGAAGGCAGAGGTGCTTGAGCCAGGTCATAAAAGGTCTGAAGCTAGCCATCCAGAGGTTGGGGGAGGTTATTCCAGGCAGGGGAACAGAGGTATGAAAGAGCTGAGTATTTTTAGGCATCTGAAAATAATAGATTGAACAATCAGAAAGTAACCTTTTAGTCAAAAATGATTGACAACCAGCTGTTTCATATGGTTGTACCTAAGAGTTTAGCGAGTGGTCAGAGTTGAGATGGACACGTAGCAGGGACCAAATCATGGAAGGCTGATAGAAGACTTTGGAGTTTATCTTGTAGAGCTTGAGGTGTCATTGGAGGGTTTTAAAGAGAATATATCAGAAATAGAATTATGGCAGCAGTGAAGGGCCTGCGATTCCAGTGGAAGGGCTTCTGCTCTTGAGCTTTGTTGAGGTTAGTGTGAAGGCTCTTGGGTTTGGCTAAAGGTAGCCCACACCGGATGGAGAGAGAGCTAGGGAAGGTGAGTGCAGAGCAATTGTGGGACACGCTCAGAGTGCTTGAGGATGTTTAACTCACTTTGCAGTTTCCCTGGAGCCTGCCTGCCTAGCCCTAAGTGGCGCGGATGCTCAGATCTGAAAAAACAAAGCATAGGCTGGGAGAGACCTATGCACAACATGGGCCTTTTTCTCCTGGAGTGTACAGAACCTCAGCCAAGCTCTTGTGCTTGCAGGTGTCAGTGTGAAGAAGGGTCAAGAGCAGGTGAACATCTACTGCCCCATCGTGATTTCTGACGCAGGACTGTTCAATACCTACCAGTACTTATTGCCAGAGAATGCCCGCTGTCTGCCAGGTAAAAGACCGGGGCAGGGCTAAATAGACTGACCGACAGACTTTGCCTTTGGTGCTTTCTACCTCTCTCTCTGCCAGGACCTCTGATCCCTGAGGGCTGTCCTGTGACAGGTCCCAGGGTCCCACCCAGGCCTGCTTCTCTCCAGGCAGCCATGTTACCTGTTCAGCTTGCCCTTCTTCACTGTATGGTTACTGTTTTCACTGCTCTTATGTAGCTCAGCCCTGAAAACAGGCTAATGGCACCAGCCCCCACCTGGCTGAAGGACCGAGTGTCCCTTTGGGTGTGGAGTTGGGTGCTGCCCCAGATGAATCTCAGCTTGAGAACTTTTCAGGGATGATGCTTTACCAAGACTCCAGTGCTGGGGTCCTTTGTGTCCAGCACTTTTGGGGGTAGAGATTTTCATAGTTCTGCCTCTCAGAGATGGGAACCAGATATCTGCTGGCCTTTGGCAATGGGAGCACCTTTGTTAAATCTCACTGCTGAGCCGTGAGGAGGTGACTGGAGATGGTTTGGAGAGGAAATTTTTTGAGTGGTAAAGACTGGTCTGACAATATCAGCAAGGGAAGATAAGGCTGGCATGGAGAGGAAGGGCTTGGTATAATTGTGCCTTGTTTGGGACCCAAGATTATATTCTGCCGGTTATATGGTTCTTGGGTCTCTTCTAGTTGGGGAAAGGGAAAGCAGGAGCTCAGAGAAGGTAGTTGCTGTTCTAAGGGGCCTCTGAAGACCTAGGGGTTTCATTCCTGGGCTCCTGGTTCTCTCCATGCTCACCACACCCCACCCAGAGAGGGTGTTGCCAGCAGCGTGACTACTGCTGGATGCTGAACCCGGGTGATAAAAGTGCTTCTGTGGCTCCAGGGCAGTCCACTGCTCCTGGCTATGGCTGTGGAAACTCAGTTCCCCTTTCATCCTCGGTGTGCTCCCACAGCTGGTGTCTGTAAATCGCCTGTTTGCCCACTGTAAGCGTTATAACACCCCCTTTTGCTCTTGAAAATGGCCTGTTTGGGAAGTTAGATTCTATGGTCACACTACCCATACCGCTTATTTCTTTGCAGCCTCTGGGGTTAGCCATCGTCTTTCAGGAAAGTCTCTTTTCCAGCAGACAGGTAGCCTATCTATCTGATTCCTTGTAGCATCCCCAGCGCCTAGCAGAGGGTTCAGCACATTTTAGGACCTCAACAAGTAGTTGCTAAATGAATCAAGCATAGTAGTGCTAGAGATGGTTCTGGGAATGGAACAAAGGTTAAGAATTAATGCGAGCAATTTCTGGAAAACTGGTCCGGAGTGATTTGTTGAGAGGTGAGGAAGCCCAGCTGTTTAGGTCCGGGGGACATCAGATGGCTGTTGTCTTCCACCACAGTGCTGTTCTTCCCTCCTCTCCAGCTGAATCCTGAAATGCCAAATGTCCACAATGCTGTTCGCATTTGTTTATCTGCATTGCTTACCACAGGAATTATGTATATTCATTCATTAGGTGGCTTATATTAAAGTTAATACTGAAGTCAAGGCTTATAACAAACTACTGTTCACATCTGGTCTTCACAGCATGGAGGCAGGTTGGCCTGAGACTGTCCTGCAGGTGTCGTGGGTCCACCCAGGGAGGCTGGGTGCCAGCTGCTTCTAAAGGTGCTTAGAGTGGGAGTGGAAGTGGAAGAGTAAGAGTCTGGGCTTGCGTCCTTTATAGGCAGAAGACAGGAGAGTAGGCCCCTGCCAAGTCATGTTGAAATAACATAAAATGGCCAGGGCACTAGGCTGACAGCTGAGGATAGGCTGCCAATACCATGAACAGGCAGTGGCGATCTCTGGCACAGTGAGCAGCCCTCACCAGCTCTCTCTGGCAGGTGTGAAGCAGCAGTTGAAGATGGTGCGGCCCAGCCTGAGCGTGCTGTCTGTCTTCATTTGCCTACGAGGTACCAGGAAGGACTTGGGGCTGCTGTCTACCAACTACTATGTTTATTTTGACACAGACATGGACAAAGCGTAAGACATTTGTGTGTATGTGGCGGGGAGAGAGTGTCAGTGTGGGCTACAGCCCACAGGGCCCCTGCTTCCTCCCTGGACACTGGGCAATCAGGATATAGAATGGAAGGAAGTGGGCAAGGATTTACTCCCGGAAGGGCTTTTTCACACCTAGGCTGTGCCTCAGCTTCATCTCTGGGGCCTAGGGGTATGGGGTGGGAGGAAGACAGGTGTACCTGGAGATGAATTGTCCTTGGGGTGGTGGTGGTGGCTGTGAGGACGGAGGCCTCAGGCCTGGCAGTCACACTTGTTTCACTCCCAGGTTAGAACGCTACTTCTCTACGCCCAGGGAAAAGGCTGCAGCACACATACCTGTTTTCTTCATTACTTCCCCATCAGCCAAGGACCCTACTTGGGAGGACCGATTCCCAGGTGGGGCTTAAAGTCCTGTGGGGAGGGTGTTGGGGTGGGAAGTGACTGGGCAGCAGTGACCCAGGCTCTGCATCCCTAGACCGGTCCACCATGGTCGTGTTGGTGCCGTCCTTTTATGAGTGGTTTGAGGAGTGGCAGGAGGAGCCAAAGGGAAAGCGAAGCAGTGACTATGAGACCCTCAAAACCTCTTTTGCTGAAGCCTGTTTGTTGGTTATGATGAAGCTGTTCCCACAGCTAGAAGGAAAGGTAGGTAGACCATGTGGTTGTGGTGACAGACTTCTTGGTACCATTTCTCCCTTTTCTTTGGGGCAGGAGAATAAAACCCTGAGATAACTGAGCCCCAGAGAAGGCAGAGAGCCCACACAGGCATCAGCTCATTCAAGGAGAACAGAAGAGGAAAAGATGAGGGTCTCACAAAGTCTCAGTCCCACCCTATGGCTGCCTTTTTTCCTCCTTAGGTGGAGAGTGTGACTGGAGGATCCCCGCTGACCAATCAGTTCTATCTGGCTGCTCCCCGGGGTGCCTGTTATGGGGCTAATCATGACCTGGGCCGCCTGCATCCTCATGTGATGGCCTCCATCAGGGCCCAAAGCCCCATTCCCAACCTCTACCTGACAGGTATACTGCCCTGTTTTGCCATGACCTGAGACCCTAGACCTCCCCATCACCCATAGTCTTCAGTTCATATCCTCGGGTTCTGCTGTCCCCTGCAGCCTCCCACACCCTTAGCTGGGCTGCCTTGGCAGGTTGTGGATCCTGGGCCTGATCTGAAGCCATCTCAGGGTGGCCCTAGCATGGAGGGATAAACATGAGAGCCCTTGCCTTGCCCTCTTCCCCACTTGGGGGGCTGCTCATGGGCCTCTGCTCTTACCTCCTAGGCCAGGATATCTTCACCTGTGGGTTGATAGGGGCCCTGCAAGGGGCTCTGCTGTGCAGCAGTGCTGTCCTGAAGCGGAACTTGTACTTAGACCTTAAGAAGCTTCATTCAAGGATCCGGGCACAGAAGAAGAAGAATTAATTCGGTCAGGAATGAGTCAGAGGAATTCAGCCAGTGCTACGACAAAGCCTCTGACTTAGCCATCATGTCTTTCAGCTTTAGTTTCTGCTCACATATAGCACTCTCATTTGTTTTTGATTTCTGCATGGTCTGACACACGTCTAATATAGATCACAGTTCTTTAACTGAAGCTCTTCCATCTGGGGCAAGGGATGATCTTTCACACCTTATATAACATGCTAGCCTTTCTAAAAGGCCCACTGTGGGCTACTGATTTGGATAGCCTTAATGTCTAATCAAGCAGTGCTCTACGTCCCATGCTCATACTTCCTAACTCTGAACAATCAAACCGAATATTCTTTTGGTCAGAACTCTTGAAAGTGTTGGTCATCCACTCATAGTGCTGTCCTGCAGTTGTACACTGTTGAGGAAAAAGGGTGCTAATGAGGTTAAACAGTGCAAAACATGGGTGTGGTGCTGATTGTATCTGTATAGGTTCAAAGGTCTCCAGATCCTGTTTCTGCTGGTTCCAGTGGCTCTTGCAGAAGGTGGAGAAATGCTTGTGAAAGGTTCAATGTGGTGGTGGGGGCTGGGATAATTACAAGATATAGTAGTTAGCATAGTATATGTTAGAATATCTAGTTCATATGCAGACAGGCCCTGGGTTGGCCTTCCTGATTGTGGAGACACTGGGTTCTCAAAATGGCAGTACAGAGATACCCTCATGGAGCTCAGTACCTGAGCCTCAAAGCTTATCTTTCAAAGATAAACAGCAAAGGGTGATATTAGTAGTCAGGTACAAGATTGGAAAAATGACTTCACTGGGGTTGAAGCAGGCTGCAAGAGCATTCCAGGCCAAGGGTAGAGCAGAGGACAGGTGCCAAGAGGTAACTGAATGAATAATAACAAAGGATCCTGCTACCTCCTAAACCTAGAACATGGGCTGCCCAGTGGGGAAGAGGAGTGGGGCTAGAAATCAGTCATGTCCACCACACAGCTACAGAATGTATAAAGCCTGGGAATGGCATTTCCAGTTTACTGGTACATAGATGGAGATTGGCTGGGAAGGTGAATGAAGACTAAAGATTAAAAATAAAAAATAAAATGACCTTTCACTTATGTTAAGCCTTATTTCAGTCAATTTCAATGCAATTAACAAATATAATGGTTTTATAGCTTTAATATTTGAAACTTATTTTGGTTTCTGTGCAACAATACAAAATTACATCAAGATGGTATTCACAGAAGCAGCTCAAGAAAACATTAGGTACTGAAAAATACTTACCAGACCAAATAAACTTTAAAAAAATTAATTATAGTTAAGTTACAAAAGGCTGAAAATACAAAACATTGCAAAACAGTGGCAGTCTACTAACTGGGTGAACAAAAAAGGAAACCATGTCAATAAGCAATCATTATTTAACACAGTAAACTTCTGAATTAAAGGAATATCTATCAGAGTATGAAGAGGCTGGCTTAGTTGGCAGCTTGAAATTTCACAGCTCAGACTCAACCCTTTACAGAGGAGTTTCTAAACTTGGATAGTTAGGAAATTCACGTAGCTTGTAGAACTAGCTCAGTTGTGATTCAGTCTTGACCAAGATACACAGTTAAAGTAAACCTGAAAATCTCTTCCCAGGATCCTTACATAAGAGAAGCCATGCCAAACCACCTTGCCAGCAAGTTTTCAGAAAACAGCTGACAGAACTACAAGGTCTGGTGTGTAACATGCTCTCTTCCCTGTTCAAATGATTCAGCACTTCAGAACATGTGCAAAGAGCATGCTACCTTTTATCACACATGCAGCATTATGTATCAAGTTACCCTGTAAAAACAAGGGGCAGGCTTCCTTTTTCTTTTCTTTATTTAAATGACAGGAACTGGAACAATGAGAATTTTAGAGGTTTAGAATTGCCAAATATTTCATTAAAAGCCATCATGGGAAAAGAAATGCCAAAGTATATATAGCTAGTTGTCAGGTCTTTCCAAGTGGTCTTAGCCTTTTGAGAGAGACTAGCGTTCTACTCTCCCAGAGTCCAAAAAATACTCTTTAAATCTGCTCAGTAATCCAACAGGAAAACAAGCTCCTCTATTAACATCCATGACTGATGCATAGATTCCTAATAGAAATCACCCTTCAACCAAAAGCTGGGGGCAGGAAAGGAAGCACACAGCTGTCTAGAGAGGGGTGCCTGTCATGGCTCCCTGGATTTCATTGCCTGCCCAGCCCACCTCCGTCTTGAGATGCCTCAGCCAGCTCACCCTCATCCATACAATCTCTAGGAAAACATGCTTCAGTCTCTTTAAAAGATTATGCAGAAAACAAGTTTTTCTTTGGTGTGAGAGATTTCCTTCAGTGCAATTTCTAAAGTGAAACTTAAATTCTACTGTACTCTTTCAGTACAAGAAATGATACTTATCAGAGGTTCTAAAGTGGAGTTACATGGATTTCACAATACTTACGTGTCCACTTGATGCCAACACTCTTGGTTCCCGAAACCAACTAACCTTTCTGCTCTCTTTATAAACAAAATCCATCAATAAGGGACACAAACCAGTAACCAGAAAGAGCTGTGTGAAACCTCAGTTAATTTGCAACCATATGTCCTAAACAAAGGAACTGAAGTACCTAAGGAATGTCACTATGCTAGGCAGATATGCAGACAGTGCCAAGGGCACTCCCACAAGTAGCTTGGTTTTCTTGGGGAGATCAGACACATCACATACTGACTTTTTGCTAAAGTTCCAAAATTTGTGATTGGCATTATTAAGAACTATGAAAGTAGAAAGGAAAGAGTCAATCATAGAGGTGGAATTAGGTACATGGCAAAACTTGAGCTGGGCCCCAAAGAAACATTTTGAGGAGGTAAAGGAAAGAAAAGTAAGGAGAAGCAACCTAACCAAAGAACCATGGGAAGTCAGGGAACGAAGGACACAGCAAGAACAAAAACAGGCCTAGACTGGCACCTCATAACAGGGGCCTTGGGCCTGGCTAGGATGCAGAGAAAGATGGGCAGGAAAGTGCCCATCTGCAGAGTCCTCAATACTAAAGAGCCTATAAACTCGATTCTCTAAGCCAAGAGACAGACAGAAGCTTCAGATCAGGGCAAGTATTTTAGAAAGATCAATCCGGTTTCTATATGCATGCAAGAGAAGATAGGAGAACCATTAAGGTGGCTCCTGAAAAAAAATCCAGGAGAGGTGAAATGGGTGGGAGTATGGGACAAGGAAGCAAGGAAAATGGAAAAAGATTATAGCTGGAGCTATCTTTTTTTTTTTTTTTTTAAATGTATAGGACTTTTTACGACAGGTAAAAATGGTAAAAATGTAGTTTGGAGAGGATTAAAGAAACTGAGCAGTTGCAAAGGGCAATATAATGGGTAGAAGAGAGAAATTCAGTTTTAGTGACAGTAGGACAAGTAAACTGAAGTATTCAGCACACAGCAAGACTGGTTTCTTTGAGAACTAGGCGAAGGATAAAGACTTGGGAGTCACTTACTCAGAGGATGAAGAATGGATGAATTTCTGAGGAAATGAAGGATTAGAGAGACCTGGCTTTGAGAACCAGCATCAGGCAAAGGACTTCTTAGACTCGTGGGCAGTTTGTAGGAGAATCTAGAAGAGGGGAATGTCTACTTGGTCAATAATATCTAATTCTATCAAGGTCAAGACTAAGTTTTGAGAACAAGCCACTGGATTTTGTGATCTGAACCTTCATAAAAACAGTAGAAAGTCAAGGACCAAAGTGAATGGCAAGGTAATGGAAGCAACACTTATTGGAGAAGTTGAATAGTAGAATGAGTAACAAACAGAATGGATGGGCATGGGAGAAATCTAGGCAAGCTTGACGTTTGGAGGAAAGGTGCTAGTATAGATGGGCAGGAACAGACAGCACTAGAGGAGGAAAGGGAAAAGGGAAACAGAAAAGGGAATAAAATAACCATGGTCTTATGGAATGCTAGAAGAGCCTGACAGAAGACTCCTCGGATTGGAGGAAAGTATTATAAGACTGCTGCACAAGTAGAGAGAATGATGCCAAGAAGAACATTCATTTCTTATCTCTACAAATAGGTACGTGCAGAGAATGAAAATCTCAACTAATTTTAAGTAAGGTAGAAGGTTATACGACACAGGATGACCTCTTCTTTAGACTTACTTCTTCAACAGCACAGAATTCATCATATCCCTCTCACTTCCCACAATTTTTTACTTCCCTGAGATCAGTTATTGTATTTGTTTTTTCTTTTCAGAAACAACTCTTTTTAGGCTCTCTATAATAGAGTAGCATGACTAGAAGATTTAAATAAAACTTTAAACACTACTCTCAGTTATCCTAAGAGAACTCTGAATTTCTTAAATTTTAATAACTCAAATGGGATATAAAAAGAATTTTTACTAAGTTACCCTTAGCACTTTACAGATGAGAGGATCATTAAACTAGATTAGATGAGAGGATCATTAAACTAGATTAAAGTAAAAGACAGTATAGTTAGTTTCTAAACAAAAGTATTTGTCTATTTTAGGCAACAAAGGCAAAATAGAGTTTGTGGGCAACCTATTTCATAAAAGGCCTTTGAAAAAAATGCAGACCAAAACCAAAACTATCCAAAACCCTTCCACATCTTTGCTTGCACAAGCACAAACCTACCTTATTTCAAAGTTCCTGTTACAATTTTGAGTATGGAGAATGCAGTGTTTCAATAATCACAACTATATTTTTAAAAATCTGTGACGAACAGTGGCTTTAGAACGTTACTCCTAGAATCCCCAAGTTCAGTTTTATGCTCAGTACAACCAAATGGAAGTTGATTCACTTTGTCTTAAGTAATATGAAAATACCAAAAATGTGAGGAACATATGCTAGACAGGTTGGACCTGCAGGCAGTAAAGCACTTTTTAAAAAAAAGCAGCTCTTCTGGTTTGCCGCTAAAGCCTTTGAAGAGAATTATGTGTTCAAAGTAGCCCTTTGCCCATCAGCATTCACCTTCTACATCTTTTGTAGGGTACATCCCCCAGAGAGACCTTGGCAGAAAAGCACCTCAACCTGCAGAGTTTTCTCTTATGTCTGTGAAGATAAATAGTGGCAAATGCAATGCTACTTTCAAGGGGTAGCTTTACTACAGAGCCAAGGTCCAAGGGAGGGTGGTCAGCAGCACTAGCTTGCCTAGGGCTGGATCTCCCTTTGGTCACAGCTGGGTTCCCACATGCTCCTCCTCACACTCAGGGGGAAAGGATGGAAGACACTAGCGGAAATAACAGGGACACAGGAATATAGGGTCACCAAAGTACAGGTGCAAAAAACAAAGCAATCCTCCCCCACCCAACCTATGCCAGCCCAAACTTGCCACCAAACCCTAGAGGTTTGATGTCTCCTGGGTCTCTTGGGTCACATTACTTTTCTCTTCATTTCTCTTGATT